CAAGTGATGTACAGATGAAATAATTCAAACAACATTATTTATTCCATAACACCCGTAAGGTAAATCGGTTTTACATTCGTAAAATTTCCAAGTGATGTACAGATGAAATAATTCAAACAACATTATTTATTCCATAACACCCGTAAGGTAAATCGGTTTTACATTCGTAAAATTTCCAAGTGATGTACAGATGAAATAATTCAAACAACATTATTTATTCCATAACATCCGTAAGGTAAATCGGTTTTACATTCGTAAAATTTCCAAGTGATGCTTTTTTCGAACATAATTTTTTAGTTGTTGAAATCAATTTTTCTCACAAGAATTGTTTAACTTGACATTTGGTTTTCCAAATGTGGATATTTAAGTTGTCTTTACAAAAACAAAATAACTTTTATCCTGGGAGAAACGTTTCGGCTAAGGTTGGGAAAGGTTAATGAGTCTAGACTTCTAAGGTAGTGTTTGATATTGATTAGCATTCAGAAGTGTTGGAAATTTGATCCTTGTTGTCGGCATGTTCTCTTGGCATATTGAGCATATTTCTTTAGGGTATCAATTTATGAATAGGATATCCTTGAGTTCACATTCTTTGAGTTCATAAAAAAGGAATAGTGCTTCCTTTGTCTTTAACAAATTTGATTGATGTGGGTTAGATGTAAATAGATCACCTAGTTTGTGATTCAAAGTATAAAAAAAGGAAAGAGAACTTAAAAAGACTCTTAATGAGTTCATTTTCGATCTTCAACCTAAAACCAGGAAAGACAGCATGTTAATTTCAGAGAATTTAAAGATGAATCTGGTGTCAAGTCGGAGGTTATTGAGAAACATTGTAGATCGATCATAAGTATTTAATCCATGGCTCCATTTTGAAGGTGTCATCAATAAATCTCAGCCATAAGGTGGAATTCAAACTTCCAAGTCCAGAGTAGAAAAATAAAGACCGCTTAATGGAATTACTCTCTTCACGTATACTGTATCCCTAAACAATTAGACCAAGTTGTTTTGAACCCTTAGTCAAATATTATCTACTATTATACCGCTGTGTTGTAATTAAGTTTAAGCAAGAATACCTTATGCTTAGATGAGCTGTATAGGAGTCCTCGGGTTCTCTCACAGTTTTCCCAATCTACGTCGATATCCCCCGATAAGTCGAACCTGATGCATTTAGTACAGTTTTAACAATCACAAACAACCAAAAATTCACCTTAATGTGATAGCTGAGGGCAATTTTTGAAAGCGCCAACTAGCGGCTGATATCACAAAGAAGTCTCACAAAATCAAACACACATCAGTATTCTTTGCAAGCTATCTTTATATTGTCTACCCAACGTACGTGATTTTAACTATAACTATCCTTTGGTTGGTAATTTGTTCTATCTTCCTTGGACCATTAAAGTCCCCTTTTTAGTAATTTAAGTACTAAAACACTGTAAGAAAAATTCAAGAACTCTTGTTTATTTTAGTGTTCTTTTCTACAGTGAACTATTGGAATTTTATTGCGGATTTAGACTGTTAATCGTTATGGACTAATTAAGAGTAATGCTCAAGAAACCAGTCAAGAATCATTTTTACCATGGATAGTAGGCTTAGTGCTTTACATCGCTATGCTAGCTTTTGGCGTGTAACACTCAAACAAGTAATTATGATTCAACCACCAAAATATGAATTGATAGAAATAATAATAAAGAGACGTCTCAATAAATATACAATTCCTATATTTACACTGGAAAGTAAAATAATGAGCTCATAATATATCTTTTCCGTGGCTAAAATCATATTGATTCACTAGTTCAATAAAACCGTATTTCGAGTAGCAAATATATGAAAATATTTTTATCGATAATTAGCTCATCTTTTTTTTTACTGTAAACATTTTGTATCTTGAATCATTTCCGTATCTCGGAAAAGAAACTCGAGATAACATCTGTCATCTCCGGTATAATTATAGCTCGGAGATATATTAGTTCAATATTACATCATGCGATCCTAAGAGACGTAGAATTTTAGTCCACGATGTAATAAAAAGAGGTTTTAAACTGTAAGTTAATTTTTGATTTCGTATTTTTCACATAGACACGTTTATTCTATTATATTTACTTTCAAAGATGGTTTATATGAAGAATAAAAGGTTCATACTTAAGTTTTTAGTTTGTGCTTTTGATTGAACTTTGTTACTAAAGTCATACCTGACATGACGCTCTTTTATTTTTAGTTTTATATTGAAATATATTCGAAAATACTTAGTTCAAAACAGCAATGCGTCTTGCATTGATGGAATTTATATTGATTAGCAAGTTCACTAAGGAAAGCTAACAGGAAATTTCGTTCTCCAAATTCCTTTGGTTAAACTTGTACTAAAGTTGATAGACCATACACTTAAGTAACAAAATAACAATGTTAACCTAAGCTAGTTTGAACTCTTTGTTTCCGCATGTTTTCAAGGCGTATAGTGACATTAAACGCCTTTAAACTGTTGACAATGGAAAAACATTCGCGTCTACACTACAATTATATTGAAAAAACAAAACAAACAAACCAGGGACGCCCAAATTTATGGTGGACGCCTGTCTGTAACGGAACAAACTATCGAATTAAAAAGTGATCGAATTTGCCAAGATAACTTTGCCAGTCATATTTAAGAATGACTTTATCGTTTAATAACTTGGTGTGTTATTAGTTACTTAGAAATAAGAAAAAGTAGCATAAGGAAAAGTCGTAACTTTTGTTTATTGTAACTAGACAACGGACGCATTAAACTTATAGGGTGTGTTTGTTTGTTTTTCATTTACTAGATATATATAAGTAATTTGTTCAATATACTTTTGTTAATGGATAGTGAAGTATTAATTAAATATAAAGTCCATTATTCTCGATTGGGAAAGAAGCGGCGTATGTTTCAGATCCTCCACCCACGATTTGGTACTTTTCTATACGAAACGGGAGGAAATGGATGTACAGGCTAAAGGAGTTACTATAGTGGCGAGTTCTCTGTACTTTAGAAAATTGGTCGGCAAGTTACTGCTAATAATGTGCTATTTTAGATCAATACGTATTGTGTTCTTCAAACACGTGTAGTGTGTACTGCAATATAGTTGATTGTTGTAGCTATATAATTACACAACTTGTGTGTATTTTCTAACAATACAAGTGACAAGCGGTTTTCAGATAAGGAATTCACAACTTAAAAAATCTATCCGAAAATTGTTTTCATTTTAAAAAACATGGGATGCACGGGTACACGGCCAGATATTCGGCCCCGGCTTGGCATTGAAAGTTGAAAGTAAAACTTGAATGTCCTGTTGGTGATTATTCGGTTAAATGTAATAAATGTCAATTTTGTTTTTGTTTCTAATTATTGTATATCTTGTTTGGGGGGGGGGGGCAAGGGGAGAACCCGGCCGAAGCTTAGTGACTGGGTACCCGAACTCGGTATTCGGCCAAATTTTACTACCCGTGCATCCCTAGTTTTAATTATAATAAATGCAAGATAATACATATGGGATATCATAACATGAATTATAAGTATATTTTTAATGGGAATAATGTCAACAATGTTATGAAGAAAAGAATATCGATGTTCTAGTTGACCAATCTCTTAAGTCATCCAATCAGCGTGTTGTTGCTAGTGGTCCCTTCTCTGAACCATTTCCAACAATTCAATATCTCTCCTAAGTTAAGGAGCCAAAGACTGAACACAATATTCCAAAAGTGGCATAACCAGTGACCTGTACAATGAAATTATAACTCCTTTAGACTTGTATTCAATATTTCTATAGATACAACCTAAAATCCTATTTGTCCCTTACTAGAATGGTGCCTGGGATGGAGTAGTTGCCATATGACGAGAGGCTGAAATCTCTCAAATTGTTTTCTCTTGAAAAAAGAAGAGTTAGGGAGATCTGACTGAGGTGTTTAAGATTGTAAAGGGAATTGATAGTGTTTATGCATCATCTTTTTATATTTAACAATGAGAACAGTAGGACTAGGGGACACAAATATAAATTTTGGCAAGGTAGTAGTCATCTTCAGCTAAGACAAGTTTATTTTTCTAACAAGGTAGTTGGCCTTTGGAATGGGTTGCCTTTAAATGTTGTAGAGACAGCAAATTTTAGTGAGTTTAAGAAAAAGCTTGATAAGTATATGAATAAAAAGGGCTGGGTTTAAAATTTTTCTAAATTATTTTAAATTAGTTTAGAGGTTGGAACATTCGAGATGGGCCAATAGATCCCATGTTGTCTCAGAACGTTATGTTATGTTAACAGGGGTGAAGTAGTGGTAAAATACGCAAGAACGCCCCCCCCCCCAAAAAAAAAACGCAAAATGCAAAATTGAAAATTTGTATGTATCTCTTCATGGACCAAATGAACTTCCATACCAAATTTGGTGAAGATCTATTTACAAGGGTTGAAGTTTTGGTAAAAAAGCCCATAAAAACCCGCAAAACGTAAAACTGAAAATGTGTATGTTCCTCCGCATGGTCCTAATGAACCTCCATACCAATTTTGATGAAGATCCATCCACACCCTGCAAAGTGGTTACATGAACATACAAAAGACAGTACGATTATATTTATATAGATTTTATGTTTGTTTGAATTTAAGCACAAACTACACAATGGGCTATCTTTGCTCTGCCCAACACAGGTATCGAAACCCGGATTTTAGCGTTGTAAGTCCGCAGACATGCCGCTGTGCCACTGGGAGTCAAAGATTTTATGACAAAACCGCACATTTTTTATTTCGATATATTCAAATTTTCAAAATAATTTGCTGTCTATGATGTTTTTATGTTTAAAGAAAACAAAATAGTATAATAAATTTAATTAGCCTCTTTGATGTTGATTCTATGTTTATAACCTTACGATAAATTTGATTAAGGCAGATTGTACGATTCTTTATTAGCTTGAATATATATATATTAAATGCTAACTTTTCTACTCGCCATCTTGATGTAGAAGCATGTCGGCTTGTATTGCTTACATGAGGCGTATGTCAGGGATACTGAAAATAGACAACTTGAAACTAGAATTTTATTATTTTGGGATATAACATACTTGTGAGTAGTTTGGTAATAAAAATTTTTTAATTTTATATACGATGTTATTTCTTGTCTTGTAAGTGAACTAAAGTAACTATAATATGATGGATAAACTGAATTTGAATCAATGAATGTTAAAAAGCCGTTAGCCTAAAATAATGAGAAAACTTAACAGTAACTGAGTAAGTGTAACAAACAGTGTTGTTTGAAACGCTCGCTGATACAGTACAATAACGTTACTATGTGTAAATTGCAGTATAACAACACAGTGTCACTAACAATTAATATGATTACTATAACTGATAGTGATATGCAGTAGCGTAATATCCGTTGTTAATAATATTAATAGCACTCATTAGCAAAACTTTAGTCCTTCGTTATTCACTGTGTGTGATCGACAGTTGAGTAATACTAGTAATGGTAGCCAGTGTATAAATAATGTTAATTTTTGTACTGGTATAACTATAATTTCAGACTTCCAAAGTTGTTGTTATTACAATTTATATTAATAAAAATATAATAATTGATATTATTATAATGGGTTAAATTTGACTTTGATAAGCATTAATGTAGGGCGAAGGAAATATAGGTAAAGCTTCATTAGTTGAATCACAATTGCTTTTAAGTAGTATTAGTAATTAACTTGGATGGGAGTTATAAGCTAAGATCTGTTAGTATTATATTTGGTAATAATTAATGTATTTTCCATGAAACATGAAGGGTAAGAGGTGATGTTACTGAAGTTTTCAAGATTATCCAGGGATTAGAGAGGTTATAAGCCTCTGATATCTGTGCTATATTCTGTACAGGGTGAGAGGACACAAGTTTAATACTGGGAAGATAGGTTAGGTTCCAGTTAATAGTTTTATTTTTCTAGTTGGGTGATTAACTTATAGAATGAGTTGCCATTAATAGTAGTGGAGTCTATAGCCTTACAAGTTACAGGAGTTATGAGAATATATTTAATAATTCTTTGAAAAATAAAGGATGGGTATAAATTTTTACTTTTCTCAAGGGTAGGTATGTAAAGACAGCCTTGAAGGACTAAATGGTCTCTTGTTATCCTTATGTTGTCTATTTAATTTTCAATAAAACACTACTCCAAGTAACGTTTTAAGAACTCTTTTTTTTTTTTTTTTCATATATTCAACCCTTAACTGAAAGTATGATTAATACTGCTCTGTGAGTTTCCTCCCTGCAACTTTTCACAAGATAACTAAAATTAGTTCTTTGTTAGCAATAAATGTTTTTAGATTTAATTTGGTGAGATTGGTAATGGTTATTATTGATATGTAAATAATTCTGTGCAACAAATTCACACAGATCCTAGAAAAACACAGTACAATGTTTATTATCTGGCAAGAAAACTTGTGATGATACTAGGTGACTTCTTTGCATAGACTTAAATGATTCATGAGATTGAACTTGAAGTATTATAAAAAAATTAGGAAGACTCACTTTTAAATTCTGCATTAAACTGACTTTATCGCAATTTTAGAAATTTTATTAAAAATATATTTCATTGATAATAATAAAGATACAAAATTAATGTCATTATTAAAATGGAAAGAAGTACCATTAAGGAACTATTAAGGAAGTGACTTTGGAAAAAATGTTATAAAATAAGGTACTGTTATTTTGTTAGTTATAGCGAGGGTCTATTTGACAACATGTTTCATTTTGGTATGATATGAAGCTGTTATTGACTTATTTCTTTAAAAAAAGATTTTTATAAGAGACCCAATTGTAATGAAACTTTGTGAACTCCATATCAAGTGTGAACTGTGGAAGGAGTTTTGTGGACAGATGGACATTAGCCATATTAAAATTGTAGAAACCTGAGAAATTGGTAAATCAAACAAGCTTAAAGATTATTGTACTATGCAGTGTTTAAGCCGCATGTGATAACAGCCATATTTTTGTTTTCCATTTTCAGGTTTCCTATCTAGCTAGAGCTAATTGTTATTAAACAGTTGTTGTTTATATGTAAATAGGTTAACAACTTAACAGTAATAATATATTGTTCTGGTATTAATCCATGTCATGTCATTTATGACATAGAATTAATAAGCAGAGTATTTAAGCATTAAACTTTTTTCATTCGAACAATAAATATTAACTTGCTGTATCTTTTTTTATTAAATCAATCTTTCCCTAAATAAGTTAACATTAGTTATGTTTGCAACTTGTAATAAGTAAGTAATATATCAACTCTTTAAAGCCAGGTGGCAAGTATACTGTCAGTCGATGCTACTATAGCATGCAGTCTACAAAGATATTTACACTATAGCATGTGGTCTACACAGATACTATCATCATCACCATTTTAACTTTCATTTATTTGCAATTAGTGCTATTTATTATAAATAATGCTTTTAAACTAATAAAGTAAAAATACTATTACATAATGTTTTTGGGGCAGATATAATCAGAATAAAATAAATTCCAACAATCAAAACTAACACAATTATATCCTAAGTTTAAGGTACTCTTTTGGAACACACAACTTATTAAATTATTAGTATTTGCTGAACGAAAACATGGATAGATATAAATTATTTAGCAAGTAATTATATTTTAGTGAATCATTAAAACAGTGATGATGATAGTGTCTGTGTAGACCGCACGCTGTAATAGCACCTGTCAGTCTGACCTTTCATTAACAAAAACCATTAACTCATAAAAGCCATCACCATATTTGAAACACAGATACTTAAAATACATTTAATGCTAACTATGGGACCTTTTAAAATATAAATTAAGATATTTTTGGTTAATTTATGATTAGTAATACATTAAACACCATTACATAACATACCTATTTACTGAACTGTTACTCATGGGCTGACAGTCAGGTTTCATACATCTACTCTTATAGGCCTAAATAATGTCTTGTGCTAGGCTTCTTTATTGAAATAAACTGTATATCAAAAAATTATGTAAAGCATTAAAACTAATATATATATATATATATATATAGAGAGAGAGAGAGAGTATAGTATTATTTTACTCTGTTTTATATATAAACTTATTTTTGTCCTACTTTTACTAATTTATGGCTACTTGTTCAAAAAAAGACAATGTCACAATTTCTACCTTTGTTTGAGAGTGAAATACAAAGCTAGCATTCATGCTGGCTTCAAAATACAAAATGCTTTAGTTTTTGTAAACAGAAAATTAACTAGCAAAACAATTACATTGATAAATTAAATAACTTTGGAGGGAAACTTAAGTTAATTGACCACCTTTCTGTGACAAATAGCAGAAAACTATTACTGACTTATAAGAAAAGTTGCATAACCTTGAGATGCCATGAAATATGGAAAGAAATGTTACTACTTTACCATCTAGTGTAACTACTTCAGGAGGAAAAGGAGCTTTGTGGGAAATAGATTTTGAGAAAGAGAATAATCCCAGTTTTTAGACAACGTATGTATGATTTTATAAGCTTGAAGTTGAAACTTGTAAAACCAAATTTAGATAGTTGAAATTTACAGTTCTTGATATCACCAACTTCAGAAAATTCACTGTTTTCAAACTACTTGAACTAAAAATAAGCCTCAAACAAGTTCAGAGTTTATAAATTTGTAGGTTAGTTTCATCTACTGACAAGTTATATCTGCACAGGTGGGAAATTAACAATTTACCCCATCTCAAAAATTACAGCAGGAGGCACAGATAGAAAATTAGAGCTAGTAGTTTCAACTATTTTAAAACTACTTTAAACAAAGCTAATGGTACTGAAACTTACATCAAAAGAAAATTTAAAATCTAATTTTCAGTTATAGTTGTATTTTGGAGGTAGTATAAAGGGATAGTTCACAATTTTTCAAATCTGGATGTTGTCATTTTGCCCCTATAAAAACCCAAGATACAAGGCTGGAAAGGATTAAGTTAAAGCTACACTGCTGTTTATACAAACAAGATAAACATGAACAGTAGGCATCACTGTATCTAGTTATGTAGCCAGTGGCCACTTGGTCACACCATCAAAATCATGAGTGATGTACAAACAGAATGCATGTATACCATCATGCATATTCATGCTAGTTTGTATTTTGATTAGTTGAAATAACAAAAAAATAGTAATAATTGAAAACAATAACTTTTATTAGTTGATTATTTTCATGAGTTGTGACATTAATTGATATAGCTTAACAATCTTGGATTAATTAAAAGTAAGAGAAATCCTGATGGTAATATCTTAATTACTTGGATTGTTGGAATAATCAATTTTGATTAGTGGACTATTTTATCATGGCATTAAGCAATATGATCCCAATTTCAATTATATCAGACAACACTAATTGACATAATCAATGCTCATAGATAATCAAGTTAGTTGACTAACTCTGAAATCTTTTCTTATAAAAACAGAAGAGAATATATAAAAGCTCAGACATCTTATAACCCTGTGCAAAAACTTTGCCACCAACATCCTTTAAAAGTCCAATTACATTTAAAATTTTGCTTGTCTTTAAGTTACTTAACAAATTCTTGCTGTTTTAGTGTTATCAACTATTTCTCATAACATTTAAGGGTAACAAGGACTGTTGATCTGTTGAGGCTGTTCCATCCATTAAACTAAGAAAAAACACCTCAAAGCCAGTCCTTATAATTTACATTTTCATCAAGCCTTTTCTTAAACTTCCTTAAATTTACTGTATTTACCACATTTGAAGGCAACCCATTCCAAAGGCCAACCACCTTGTTAGAAACTATAAAACTCTTGTTTGAAGATGGCTCCTACTCTTCCTAAATGTGTCTAAAAATTAAAATCTCCTATAATTATTACATTAGTATTCTTGTTTGGAACAACCCTGATATAATTGACATCATCTATGGTCAGTCGGACTATAACCAGTGCTTGAAGTGGGGTGGGATGAAGCAGGATGTCATTCCACTTCTTTTCAGGAGGGCCCCAAACTGTAAGCTTCTCAAATGGGAAAAGTTCAAAATATGGTGCAATAAAATAAATAAATATATATATATATATTTCAAACATCATAGAAGAGTGAGGCAATAATTAGAGAAAATAATACATGGATGGAGCAAACGGACCCTCTTGCTGTGGGTTTGGTCAGTGTGGGTGAGTTTGTAACCAAAAAGTAACCACTAGAATTTCCATACTATAACTCATAACCTTATACATTTGCTTATACTTAATTTTATTGTTTTATTGCCCCTTGAACTATGTCTAACTAATAATCCTGCCACACAAGTTGTAAATCACTCAGTGAATATGCAACTCACATTACTGTACTGAATTATGTAATACACAAGCTGCTCATGAGTACACCTCATGAATAGTTTTTATTATATTACCTAATCTAACCTATTAAGTTTCAGATATTTTAATTTTAGTTACTTTATAATAATAAATAAAGAATACACATGAAATACAGTATTCAGCTTTAAAATTACACAAACCATCCCACTTTCTCTTTTCCCCCACTTCAAGCACTGGTTAGTTAAACACTTTCCACCCTTGAAACCTGTGATTGTATCTATTCTTGGAAGCTGTGATTGTAACTCGTATAGATTCAAACTCATGATTACCATTTTTTATATCTTTAATCCCAGTAGGCTGTAGTTCATCACTTATATAAATAGTTACCCCATCCCTTGTTAAAAGCCTATCACTATTAGCTTATGGCATGGAATTTCAAAATAGTTTCTGTTATATCATAGCCTTCCATTTTAACTAGAGCCCTAAATTTATCCATATTGTTATTAATACTGAACCTGCCTCTATAGCTGTTATTTTATTTGACATCATGCACCCTTGTAAACCCAGCTCTGATTCTCACCCTTCCCCAGAGCAACCATTACCTTAACTCAGTCCATTTATTGTTGTGCTTCATTGCTTTCTTTCCCTAGTCTGCTATTTCCCCCCCTCTTAAGAGTGCATTCTTCCTTAAACATACCTTTAACTTATTCTCAAGCAAGCAAATTCTGCAAGTGTAGTACTGAAGATTTCTGAGCTTCCTGAAAGCAACAGTCAGGTCCAAAATTCTCAAATGTAACCCAATCCCAGTTCCTGTCATATCCTGTAAATTTCTCCTCACTTATCCCTAAACTACCTCTAAACAAACTGACATGTTACTAGTCTTTATTCAGTATTACCAACCTATCCACCCAATAATTTTATACTGAACTAAGATTAAGCTATTTCACAGTTTATAATTATATTGTAGATAAATCTTACACTAAAATCCATTAACTGATATTGTACACCATGTCTCAAGTTATACATAACTAATTAGTAGTTTAAACAATTTGTTGATGTATTAAATTTTCTGCAACTACCTTAATAGAAACAGTAATTTCAACTATTAGGATAAAAATGTTTTATTTCTCACTTATCTAACTCTTTGGGATAATTTTTTATTTTCATCTGATATTTAAGGTGAATAGACTGATACATTCTGCATGCTTAATATGGAACATTAACTGCTTTTACCCTTTTTGCGAAATTGGTTTGCTTGATTTCTGTTTTAGCATCATGGATGACAGTGATTTTGGAATGCTGTTGGTTGTACTTTCTAATGAAACTTTTGAATTGGAAAGTTTCAGACAGTAAGTGAAAAAATGCTTCCTCATCAAAATACTAATTCTTACCATGTCAACCCATATTTAGTTATACTTTCATTCAAGATTACATTTATTGTATTTGCCATCATCATAATTGTAGTTTTTTCTTTGTTTCTAATATTAGAATACTGAGAATTTGCAGCACCTGTAGGCTATCACTATGTTGGAACTGATTGTTGAGTAGACCAGACTGATAAGAAAAACTTGTAACAGGATAGGAAAATGTAATGGTTTCATCAAATCAAATTACCATTCTGTTCAGTGTCACAAAATTAAGCCAGTTTCAACTATTATTGTTTCTGTCATATCCTAGTTGGCTTGATGAGCTCTGGTATTGGGCAAAAGGCCTCATTGGCACTGAACATAGAAAATAATGTAGTTGACATGTTGTTACATTTTTTACTTTCGTTCATATGTTCTATAATATGTAATTGGATTATTCGTGGTATTTATTTAATTGATATAAGTAATACACAATTTAAACAACAATTATTTGTTATTGCAAAAAACAAAGGTACTTTACTGTATGTTTCAGCCACATTGTTTGGGCTGTTATCAGACTGCCCAAATATTACAGGCAAATTTTGTTTTTCCGAAATCTTGAACAATATGTTGGTCAAAATTTTGGCCTCTAATTTACATAAATTTGAAGAGACTTTTGAATTCCTCCATGAAAGCATTTATTTTGAATTTTATATAATATTTGTACAGTTGCTTGAAGATATATGAAATTACCCTTATTAAAATCAAGGCCTTCAATAGATGCACAATCATAAATGTGAAAGACTACATAAAGTCTGGAGTGGTTGGTTTGATAAGTATGGGGTGATCTTGATAGATTGAATGGCCTTTTATAACTACTCATATTTCACTGATGAAATACATATCTGTTTTCTTTCTGTGGTGTATATACACTACTCTTTTTTGAAACTTCAATGACAACATTATTTTTATATCAAACATTGCTAGATCTAGGCAAAGATATAAAAAATTACATTATAAAGATAAGCCTAAGAAAAACTATTAGATATGAAGTTAATGTTAAAAAGTATATTTGTGATTGCATTTTTTTGTAAATGTTAATTATAACAGCATAAAATGATTGATTTAATGAGGTGAATCAATTTTATGTTTTCTTTCATAGTGGCCTGTAAACTGAATAATTGTGAATCCATGGAATGATAAAATGGAGTTTCAGGTATGTTTGATTATTATGTAAATTTTTTCATGCCTTGGGGCTCAATTGATAGTGGTCTGTCTTAACCTTTTCCAGCCCAGTGGCAATGTATTATTATTTCTACATTTACAATAATTAATATTAATAATGTATAAATATTACCATATCTGAAATGCACATTTCAAACATAAAGCATGAAAACCATTGAATTTTTTAGGACCTGAATTTTTCAATATTACAATTTATAATGAAATAATAATCACTATTTGACATAATTCTATCAAGTTACACAATAGACCAGTAACCACAGAAAGGAAAGCCAGGATTCACGTATACTTATCAGCAGTAATACAATTACAAGCATAATGACATGATGTGCTAGCTCATTTTGTTGAAATTTTTAAGAAAATATCTTGGGTATCATTAAAACTAAAATAAATAAATCATGTTCATCTTACTATATCTTATTCATAAAAATTATCTCTATCCCTTATAAAAAATTATGTACTGCTATATCAAAAAGTCACCCACCTCACTATTAATCTGTAAGACTTCTTAGTTTGAAATTACCAGTGAGAATTTTTGTAAAGCAAAAACCAACTGACAAAGTAATTAAAAGTAAATTTACATGGGAACCAGTGAAATTTAGTTATCGCACTTTCATAGCAGACAAAAAGTACAATACATTGATATATTAAGGTTATTTGAAGATTTAGAAATTTATAATCCATATAAGGGAGTGATGGAGCTGTACAACAAGTACATTTTGAGAGAAAGTAAATATAATCTAATTTTTTTGTAACTGTGTTAGCTTTCTAAGCTTGGAAATTGTGAAAAAAATTGCAGTAAGTTGAAGTTTATATTTTTTGATAGCACTTTCTTAAACAGTTCACTGTTTTCAAATTATTTGATGTAGAAATAAGCAACAAAGGTTACATTTTTGCTTATTTGATTTGTATGTTGACATATATGCAGTATGGTTTATATATGCAGACAGGAAATTTAAGTATTTCTACTCCTCAAATAAAAAGTTGTAGTTGGGGTTAGGAGGGAATAACAGTTCAAATTTGGTTTTATTACTTTATCCAATACAGTTGTTAATAAAATTTATGTCAAAACAAAATTCTAAATGTGAATATTTTAGTTATAGTTTTATTTTAGGGGAATGATTAGGCATATCTTAAAACTTAATGATGCCATTTGCTTTTGTTACAGAAAAACAAAACATAAAATACAAGACTTCAGCATGTAAAAAATGTCTTGATAACCAGTTGATTGGCTATACCAAACATTTTAAGAATAATTCTCAGTGGCTAAGTTTTAGAGACTGATACATTAGGTATATTATAGAACATATAAAAATGATGAGTATTAATTGAAAGCATAACTAAAGTCTTTACAAAAGATTTTTATAGGTACATTTGTCTTGCCATGGACTGCTGCGTTATTTATACTTTCAAGAAATGCATGTATTCACTTACTCAATTTTTGAAGCTTATTATTGTGTTTGCATACTTTCATGTGCCTATTTTGACCCAAGGCTTATATATATTTAACTCTTTATTTTACTGTGCATCAAAGGAATAATTCTTTCTAATCCATTTGTCACTTTGACATCACTGTCTAGCTAATCTATAAAGAAAGAAGAATGTTAAACTAGTACTTTAAAACATGTATTGGTTCACAGTAATATGTAATTATCATCAATAAAGTAAAGCTCCAGAGAGTATAACTAACTGTAGTGTGGAATGTTGATGATTCATTTGACTCTAAATATTAATAGTGCTCTGGTAACAGTTTTAAATTTTTCTTGATGAGAGAAGTTTAACTAGATGTATTCAGTATCTTGTGCATTGTTGCATTTGGAATTTCTGTTATACATATATTTAAGCTTCAAGAATCCTTACAGGTGTTTGTGATATATTTTGACATATTATTTTAGGACTTGGAGTTTCTGGATCTATCCAACATACCTGAAAATGAAGCAAAACAGATCCATCTTCTGCTTCATCCTCCTGATGGTACATACAATGTAGAGGTAAATAATTTTTATTATATAATGTGCAAAAACAAAAGGTGGAAATCCTGTTACCTTTATTTAAAAGTTAATCCTTTATTTTAAAAACTAATTAAATATATATAATTCATCACAGTTAACTTTAAACTTTTGTTTCATACTGCTGTATTTAGACAGGTGAAATGCTTGATATTCAGTGAATCACAATAAAAAAAAGTTTCACTTATACATATTTATTTCAAGTTGACTGACTCAGAGTGGTACCTAAAAAAAATAAAGCAATCACTAAGCCTAAGATTTATCCTTTTGAGATTCAGAAATCTAATTTTTAAATTTTATATTACTTCTTGGGTTTTAACAGTTCATTTATATTGAAATATATTTTTAACTCCACAAGCTACTGAATAGTGCTAAAAGCAAGTTGTATAGCAAACTTGTTTTTTATGTTCTGGTGAATAATTTTGGAAAGTAATCACCCTAGCACCTTATTCACTAATAATTTAAGATTTGCACCTTTTTTTTTTAAGTATAAGCTACATCATTATTTTCTTTTTACAAGATGTATTTAATTTCTGAGAAGTACACAGTAGTTTATTCTGTAATTTTTAGATATTTCACATATTTTAACATAGTTAAAATAGCAGAAATGTTAAATTTAATCATTAAAAATTAAATTTTTGGTACTGTTAACATTGTTGTTATGAATGGTTTTAAGTATGTAATTTAGTTTGATAATTTTCCTTTCTTCAGCTACCATGGGTTAAACATGCAACTACCATATCTCCAAGAGAAATACACAGTTCAGGTACACACTTTCTGTAAAATTCATTTAGAAAGTTTTAAGATAGGAGTTAAGAAGAAATGATTCAACTTGAGTGTTTACAGTGAGGTTTAATTTTTTCTGTAATTTTAAAATTCATTTAAAAAGTAAATATGTTATTAAACTTTAGAGCCAAGAGTGTACTTGAATGTGTAAATCTTGTTTTGAAGATGACTGCTATTGAAATATGGCATTTATATTTAAAAAAAACTATGAGGATTAACTTTTGTCTCTTAATTTTTTTCATTTATCTAATGTTTATCATTTGGTTAAAACCATTACAGTACAGCTTCAAAAAATAAAAGATCACAACATTGATGAGGCGACACTACCAACCATAGCCCCTCTTAACCCACCACCAGCTGTTCTGAGTAATCCTCCAGTTGTTCCTCCACACTTTGTCTCTTCAAGTGGAGCTACAGCTTTGCCTCATCTAGCTGGAAGTCAGGCTTTTCCTTTCATACCTCGCTCTTATCCTCTGCTTCCTCATCGTTTTCCACATTCAAGCCCATCTGTCTTTACTGGTAGTGTTTCTCAGCAAGAAGTGACAGTTGTTCATCAGAGCTCACTCCCACCTGCTTTTCCTTCTCATGCTACTAATAGAGAATATATTTCTGTTTCAAATGAAGACTCTGAAAACATCATAAATGTCCAGAAAAAAGGGGATGTTACTGCTAACAATCAGGTTTTACAAAATGACAAAAAAAATAGTTCTGATTACTGTAGCTCTGTTGATGAGGCAAAAACACAACGATCGGGTCATCAAGGAATAAATAAGGAAGAATCTTTACCTACAGGAATACCAAGTGTGGTTCCAGTGCCTTTTACTGTGCCCCCTAACAGTTTTCCTGTCACTACTGGCACCATACCTGTGGCAGCAGCTGCTACAAGATACCCACCGGGTATAGCTCCTGTTCACTATCAACCTCAGGGGCCTTCTGCACCAGTGTTATATGCAGTTCCATTTATATCTTCTGCTTACCCTGGGTTTATTCACCCTCAAACATCTCCAGTTATTAGTGAACATCATGGACAAGAGGATGGGCATACTAGTGATAAAAATGGTGCAAGGATGAGTTCAACTGTTCAGTCTGTTGCTGGAGAACATCATGAATTGTATGTTACCCCAACTTGTAATTCAAATGATTCGAAACTTACAATGACGTGTGTTACTTATTCTCAACAGTCCCAAACTAATACCTATCAAACCATACATTCAGGTGAAGTGCAGAAAAGTCAAATTATTCCAGAATTCAAACTTGAATTTTCTTCTGACAGTAACAATGAAGTTCAAAAAACTTCATCAGCAACAATGATACCTGAGAATTCAAATGCCAATGAAATGATTAGTAAACAACCATTTCTTTATAAACAAACATCTAACGATGAATATTTATGTTCAGGTCACCCTCACATTACACCTGTGGACAAAGATAATTCCTCAGAGAAACATAGTGAATCTAGTGATGTTTCTTCAGATTGTTTAGTGACAGGAGCACAAACTAAGATACCAATAATTGTAAAAAGGGACTGCTCAAGCAGCGAACCTGTTTTATCACCTACTCAAGTAGACACTAACAGTGATTTAGCTGGAAAAGTTAAAAATACTAATGTTTGGCAGCGTAGATCAGGAGCAGACTTGTTTAAAGATCAGCACTTAAGTCAGACTCTTCCTCAGGAAAGTGATAAAATCTCATTTCCTACAGTTTCTTCTACTAAAGTCCCAGAAATAGTAGAAAATGAAGAGTTGGAAGATGGAAAAGAATATAAGATTGTGAAAGCTGAGGAAGATTTATTAGCTGTGAAGCTAGTTAGTAAGTGTATATTTTCATGTTTTCTGAAATTTTCTCATGTTAGGCCTACTTTTGCATGTGGACACGCAGTGCTTGTGGATTAGAATATTAAGTATCATGAAAAATTTAATTTATTTTTCGTTTAAGTTTTCTTATTGAGCTTAATAATTTTCTGATTTTTTTACATTTTATTCACATTTATAACAAGTTGCTTATGATAATTGATAAGGGTCAAGCCTGATGAACAAAGCACATTTTTATTTGTAGGTGAAGTGTGTAATTCAATATAAATAATGGTCATTAATTTTTTTAAAAGGCTGCACTGAGTTGTATGTAAATTTAGATTAATTTTAAAAGTGTTATGAAATTTGTATGTACAAGTTAAATCTGTTATATCCTTAGTCTCTATTTTAATGTATGGCCCACATAGATTTTTTTTTTAGTTTGAGTTACACATATTTACTCTACAGTGAAGGGTGAAATAAAGTTAAAAGATACAAAAATAAATCTAAATTAACCTTCTTTTTTGTTCCTTTGAAGAATGACTGCATATTATAAGAGACAATTTTATATTATTTATTCTTGCAGCCAAAGTCAATAGGATTTTCAAATCTAGGTTCATTTAGTTTTATTCTTAACAGCTGCAGTTAGACTCTTTCAGAGCATGCTGAAAGCCATTTATCATAGTCGAACAGCTGTGTGTAAACAAAATTGTTTACAAGCACCAAATGATCAAATTACAAACATGCCCTTGCGGACATGCAGTGCTTGTGGGTTAGAATATTAATTATCATCAAAAATTTAATTTTTTTTTTCATTTAAGTTTTCTTATTGAGCTTAATAATTTTCAGATTTTTGCACTTTATTTACTTTTATAACAATAAATAGAAAATATACTTAAAATACAAATTTAGTACTTGTGTCTAATTCGGGCATTTTTTGAATGTGGGTGGACGAAGCACTTTTTTTATAATGATGTTGGTAGTTTGAGATATTAATTTTAATTTCAACTGTTTTTAGAACACACAGTATTATCATACATCCAAAATAGAATGTTCTAAAAGTAAGCTACAAATAGGTTGAAAAAACTCCATGAGCCTGCTTGGAATTAAACAGTAATGATCACACACAACCAATCTGAAATCAACTGTCTACAGTTGCATTTCAAAAAGAAATAATCTTCAGCAGATTCTAGTAGGGACAAAATTCTCTGTTAGTTATAAATGTATGTAGAAAAGAAGGTATGGTTAAATTCATTCAGGGACTCTGGTGGGTGTCATGAATTTATTTATATCTCAGTAACTGGAGAATTTAGGAGGTTTAATTTTCGTATTTTGTCATGTCGGTATCTGTAATTTGAGTTTCTGATTGGTTGTTTTTCGTGATAGCCTTGCAGAATAGAGAAAATCTGAAAAAAGACAATCTAAGGGGAATGTGTCATGTGACACAAAATCAAGATTAAAAATTTATATATTTCCTCTTGAAATAAAGAAATTAAAACTTTGAATCATAAATTATTAAAAGGTCTTGACATGTACATTTTCATTCCCCACCCCACCCCCCACTGTACACATAAGGTTAATCAAAATTATGAATAACTTGATTGTCATAAAAATAATCAATGAATGGAAATTAGGATTTTTAAGAATTTCTGTTCTGGGTTATTCCAACTATCCAAATAATTGAAATATTATTGGTATGTTTGTTATTGAGCACAAAGCTGAATAAAGAACAATCTATACTCTGCCCAATTGTAGCCTTAGATGTTTTTCTTTTTACTTCAAGTTTGTTCATCCTTGGAGGGGGGAGTATGATGTTTGATTCACATCGTCACCAAACTTACTTCATCTGTCGGGCATAGCAGAGCTACTAAGGCTTTTGGCCACTGTCATTAATTTTGAACTTTTGACTAGAAGGGAAGGCACCTGTCTTGCAACATCTGCTGCCAAGTTTTTTTTTTGCTTGCATGTTTGAGGAATAACTAATTGAATAATGTAACCTATTAATGGGGCTGTTGATCAATTGATTAGCAAATACAACTAATTGCCTAGCTCTTCTGTAGCGTAAGGCTCAGTTTTGACTAAAATTGCATCATACTGATGTCTAAATGTAAAGTACCATAATGAAGAAATGTATCAGCTTACAATATGCATGAAATGAATATTTATAAACATAAAATGTGTGGTGAAAGTTGCCACTATGGTCTGATTGTTATGAAATTTAAGCACATTTTTCACAAGTGAATATATATTTGTAAATGTAGGAACTTTACATAATATTATAGATTGTTCAGTTATAAAAACTTCCTACGAGTTTTTTTAATAAGATAAAACTTTTATAACTTTCCAAACAGAGTTGGTCAATATGACCATCCTAAAAACCATCAGAATTTCTGTACTCTTAACTTTTAATATGGTTTATGTATTGTCATGAAACTTGGCAAGCTTTCAGTAAACATTACAAGTCCTTTGTACACAAAAAAATTAGATTTTTTAATTAAGTGTTTTTATTAAGTATTTGCTAATGAATATATGGAATCAGAATTTTTACTGTTACGAGTGCAAAATGATTTTCATTTTAAGATTAGAAATACTTTTCTATGTCTGAAAATTTTCAAATTTCATTTGCATAACTTCTAAAACCTCCTAAACAATTATGAGTTTTTTTTGTTTTTTCAGTAAAACTTTATATTTTGTCTGTTATTTTTCCTTCCCAAACTATATGGACTTGGTTGATTTTACCAACTTTGCAACCATTATAAAAAATGTATCTAAATTACCCTTTTTTTTCTTTCTAAAATGACTTCCATTGTAACAGGAAACTACAATTGTTTATTCTAAATATTTTAAAGCTTGTGGCTACATCTGTTTATACTTAATTTTATTGTTTTACAAGCTTAGATACCCATCTTTTGTGGGGTCATGAACTTAAAAATAAATGTGTGGGTGGATGCTATGATAAATAATACAAAAATTCTAACTTTCACACAATTTATTTATAACATAACTTATTATTATAGTATTCATTATTACCTCACCAAAAGTTTTGTATAAGATTTAAAAATTCAGTATGTATATACTTAAAACATGGTATACATTCTGTGATGGTCAGGGTGACTTTTTAGAGGTAGAGGCCAAAGTAGTGGTGGTAGGGATACTTTCTGTTACCTGCTTTAAACATCCAGTTCTTAATTTCATTACACAGTGTTTCACATGATTAACTAGTTGACAGTCATTGGCTGTAAGAAATGCCTTATGGGCCAAAGTTGAAAGGTTGCAGGTTGAAGTAGGAAGTGAATATAACTCAAAAAATGGCTTTTTATGTCAGCCTTATGGTGGCTGTTGGAATAGAAGCTTCAACTGAGTTTATGTATTATTGCAATAGTGGTGGCCATTTATTTTTCATTGCATTCCTCCTTAGAGAATACTAGTACACTCTTTGAGATATTTAAGACATTTGTGTGCTCTCCCCCCACACTGTGTATGTTGTGTTATAGAATTAAATAATTGTTTTGTGTAGAGGATGTAAGCACCATCTATGAATGTAGTTAACATTAACTTACATCGAAGGTAATAAATGCTCAGTAACAGCAATAATGGGGGGGGGGGGTTGTGAACCCCTTATTAATATGCCCCCTTGTTCCAAACTATTATCCAACAAAGTTTGGTTGAGATTGGTTCAGTGATATAGCAGATAGACACACAGATTTTTGTGCTTTATATATATATATATATATATATATATAG